GGCGCGGCTGGGGGAGTGGAAGGGTGGCCCGGCCAGGCCTCTGCCTCCCTCCTCTCGGTCGGCCCGGATCGGCTTGGCCCTTGCTAGGCTGGGAGCTGCCGGTCACCTGCAGCCCTGGGCGCCTGGCCTTTCGGTGTCGTTACTTCCTACCCTGCGGTCACTGCAGATCGACGTGCATGTAGAAAATAGCCGTGTCGTCCACACTGGCGGCCTGGGTTCTGAGCGCCAGCCCACCCCCACAGCCCTCAGGTGCCCCTTCTCACCTGTCTGTCCCCTCCTCAGTTCAGGTAGACCCCCCCTCCCCTTCTCTATTGCTACGATTCTGTCACTTTTTTTAAAGAGAGAGATTTTTGTTATAGGGTGTGTGGCGGAGGGACAGAAAGCAAGAAATCACCCCCCAGGGGAGAGAGCCACTTGGCCGTCCCTTGTCCTCCATTCTCCTCTCTGGATTTTGGGAATGCTCGTGCACACACCTGGTGTGTTTTAAGCCTCTGGGTCTGGGACTCAAACCACAGTGGACTACCAGGGAGTCCAGCGATGTAATTATTACGCCATCTGCTGGTTCTGGTCCCTCAAGAATATCTTACGAATAGGGGAGCAGGCTAGATCTCCTGCAAGGCCCATGCCTAGGTCCCAGCTTGGGGGCTGAGGCAGGGGACCCCACAGGGAGGTCAGTCTTAAAGAGGAGCACTGGGCAGCCTGCGGCCTGCAGTGGCAGCCTGGTGCTGGCTTGTCTCTGGAACTTCCCAGGCTCTGGCTGCCAGCACTTGGTCTCCTGTCACTGCCATGCAGCTCGGAGCTCTCAGCCCTTGAGGGACACGTGGGGGTTGCAGTTGGCTGTCAGCACGGAGCTGCCGTGGTGGTGTGGACAGGTCTCTGCGAGGACATTAGGCCTCCTTCCCCAAGACCCAGAGGTGCCGTTGTGGACTCACATGGAAGGTGCACGCTGTCTTCTCCCCTTGTCCAGAAACAGGGTGCCTATGGGCAGTGTCTGCACCCTCGGCCGTGGGTCTTGTCACCGCTGCTCGTCTTAGTTATCCTGATGGCGTATGTGGCTTTAGCTCACATCCCCACGGCTGGCGGGCTGTCTGCCACGCCGTCCTCGGAGCAGGCCACCTCTGCATCCTCTGCCACACTCGAGCCCAGTAGCTGGCCCCTCTGCTGCTGGGTTTTGAGACTCCTTCTACGTGCTGGTCCCCTGCCGGCCAGGAGCTGCGTGGAGGTTCTTGCCCAACCAGTGGCTTGTCTATGTTCTCAAAGGACATTGTTTTATTATTTATTTATTTATAGAGAGATTTTTGCCATAGGGTGTGTGTGCTTGCCAGAGAGATAGAGAGACAGAAAGTGCGAAATCACCCCCAGGGGGGATGGCTGCGCTGCAATCCCTTCTCCTCCACTCTCCTCTTGGGATCTTGGGCATGCACGCACACGTGCCCACATGCGCTCGCTGTGTTATTTATTTTTTAAGAGAGATTTTTGCTATAGGGCGCATACACTCACCAGAGAGAAAGACAGAAAGTGAGAAATCACCCCCAAGGTGGATGGTCATGCCACAATCCCTTTCCTCTATTCTCCTCTTGGGATCTTGGGCGTGCACGCACACACGCCTGGCGTGAGTTTTAAGCCACTGGGTCCAGGACTTGAACTGCAGTAAGCTATGTGGGAGTCCAGTGATATAACCATTACACCATCTACTGGTCTCAAACAAAAGACTAATAATGAAGTCCGGGGGCCAGCAGGTGACATAGTGGTTAAGGTGCTGGACTTCCATGTGGCCGACCATGGTTCGAGTCCTGGACCTAGAGACTTGAAACTCATCCCGGGTGCGTGTGCGTATGTGCCCAAATTCCAGAAGAATGGAGGAGAGAGGATTGTGGCATGGCCACCCTCGGGATGTGGGGAGTGATTTCTCACTTTCTCTCTCTGGTGAGTGCATGTGCCTTATAGCAAAAAAACTCTTTAAGAAAATGAATTCAGGGCCAGCAGGTGGTATGGTTAAGGGTGCTGGACTCTCACATGGCCAACCACAGTTCGAGCCCCAGACCTGGCAGCTTGCTTTCTCTCTCTCCCTCTCTCTGATCAAGTCAATAAACAAACAAGTAAATAAAGTTAAATAAAATAATTCTTAAAAAATAAAGTCTGTGACCAGCAGATGGCATAATGGTTATGTTGCTGGACTCCCACATGGTCAACTATAGTTCGAGTCCACGACCGGCAGCTTAACACTCACGTCAGGATGTGTGCGTGTGCTTAAGATCTGAGAGGAGAATGGAGGAGAAGGGATTGCAGTGTGGCCATCTTCTCTGGGGAGTGATTTCTCACTTTCTGTCTCGCTGTCTGTCTCTGTCGAGTGCATGCGCCCTGTAGCAAAAAACTCTCAAAAACAAAACAAAACAAAACAAAACAAAAACGATGTGTCTGTATTTCCTTCATTGGGTCCTGTTTCTGGTGTCAATTCAGAACTCTTTGCCTAGCCTGAGTTTCTGAGGATTTTCCTGAAACTATAGTTTTGCAATTTGCATTTAAACCCGTGGTCCATTTAAGTTAATCTCACACAGGTTTATGACCTGCCACCCCCATGAATGTCCAGTTATTCCAGAACCATTTGCTGAAAAGGCTGTCCTTCTTCCTTGAAGTTGCTTTTGCGTTTTTGTTGAAATCGTTTGGGTGCGTACTGGTGGGCCTCTTTCTCATTCTGTCTCTTAGATCTCTGCTTGCCTCGCCCACTCCCCACTGCCACGCTGTCAGGAGTATTGTGGTTGTTGCACAGTAAGTCTTGAAATAGAGTACTGCTCATTCCTTCTCTTTTGTTTTTGTTTTGTTTTAAGGGTTCATGTGCTCACTGGAGAGAGAGAGAGATCGATAGAGAAAGTGATAAATCGTGCTCCCAGGGGTGATGGCCACCGTGCTCCCAGGGGTGATGGCCACACCACACTCCCATTTCCACTCTCCTCTCAGGATTTTGGGCACACACACACATGTGTGCTCGCCGGAGAGACAGAGTCAGTGAGAGGGAAAGTGAGAAATCACCTGTGGGGTGGGGGCACGCCACAATCCCTCTCCTCCATTCTGCTTCCAGGGTCTTGGGCATGCAAGCACTTGCACCCAGTGTGATTTTCGAAGTCATCGGATCTGGGACTAGAACTGTAATTTGCCATGTGGGAGACCAGTGACGTAACTGCTACGCCATCTGCTCCCTACCTGGTATGTTTTTCAAGCCACCAGATCTGGGACTTGAACTGTGTAGTTGGCCATGTGGGATCCAGCTGCTGGCCCTCCTTCCACTTTATTCCTTTCAAAATGGGTTACCTGGATTTAAATTTTAGAATTACTTGTATACTACAAAAATTCTTGCTTGTGTTTTGACATATGTTAAGTTAAACCTGCATCACAATATGTAAAGAATGGTTACTTTAGCTATGTGGAATCTTTTTAATCCATGAACATGGTATATCTCCCTGTTTATTCAGCTGTTTGGTTTCTCCCATTAGCGTCATGTGAATTCAGCACACGTGGACCTGAGATCCCTGGCTAGGCCGCCTTTTCTCAGTTCTGAGTGTCTCTTGTGTTCACTTTCGCTGTGGCAACCAGGACTTGTGGTCATGCTGAGCGGGTAGAATGGGGAATAGTGTATCTCCTCCAGCTTTCTGGAAACAAGAGTCAGCCTCTGGCCTCTCAGGAGTGTCTCAATGCTGAAGAGATGGCTCAGTGCTGTGTAGAACGGTGTCTGTGAATTACAAACACAGTCCTGTAATTGCTGTAGTCCCAGAGACCTCGCCTCTTGCAATGCTGAGCACATTGTGTGTGCTTGGCAGAGAGCTTTCCAAGTAAATGCTCTTGAATAAAGCACAGTGCAGTCCTCCCTGGTGGAAATGTTTCATTCTGGGCTTTTGGGAAGGGTGCCTTTGTTTGCTGTAATATGCGGGGAGTGGGCATGGTAAGCAAGTGTGTGCAGGGAGACAGAGTTTCCAGGGACTGGGGTCCTGCTGTGTGCAAGGACAGACCGGGGCCAGGTGGAGCCGCAGTCTGGTGCTCCGTACCTAGCAGCATCTGTTGGTGTGTGGGTTTGTGCATGCAGGTGGGTTGCCCTCAGCTTTGGGACTTGGAGAACCTGGGCTTAGTGAGGTGGGGAGCAGGCCAGGAGGGCTTCCTGGAGGCAGGGGCATAGCAGGAGAAGGAAGAGTTAGAGGGGCAGTGCAAAAGCAGGGGCTGAGGTGGGAGGTGGGCTGTGGGAGTGGGCTGGTGACCCATGGCCTGGCCTCTGGCCGTCTGTTCCAGGGGGGAAGCGTGACGAGGAGCTCGTCCTGCCCATCAACTCCTCTCTGAGTGTCACCCTGCACCAGGACCAGGTGAGTCCCGACCACACTCCGCCAGGCGGCACTAGCAGAGCTCCAATCTGACAGCCAGAAGCGTTCGCGGCAAGTCTGCAGCCAGCACACATGTCCTCACAGACCAGGAGCCAGGAATGCCTGACACACGCGTGTGCTCGGGTCTCGTCATGTACACACGTGTACACATTCACAGTGCCCAGGATCTCCCTGGAAATGGTGTCCCTGTGCAGGACATGCCCGTGCCCCTGAGTCATGGTGGCTAGGCTGGACGTCTGGCCTGCAGCTTCCCCACCACCCGATCCTGGGCCAGCCTAGGTCTGTCTGTCCCCAGCAGGGCTGGCGCTGCCCACGTAGGTACCCAGGAGGGCTGTGCGCGTGGTCTCGGCAGAGCCCTGGCTGACCCCGACTGGCCCTGCCTTCCGTGTAGCTGAAGACCACCACCACGGCTGTGCTCAGCAAGGACTTCACTGCGGACAGGCTCTGGCTGAACGGCCAGGAGGAGGACGTGGGGCAGCCTCGCCTGCAGGCCTGCCTCAGGGAGAGTGAGTGGGCCCCACCAGCCGTCCCTCCTTGCCCTTGGTGGGTGTGAGTGTCGGGTGCCAAGGGGGCTCTGGCCCTGGACCCCTCCTGTCACGGTGGGCGCATGGCCACCTGTGCCGGTGGGCTCCCCGGGAAGTTTGCGTGGGCAGTTCCAGGCAGGGCGGGTTCTAGCTGGCGTGCAGGTAGGGATAGTCCTGCCTGGATGCCGGGACGGGCTGTGTCTGCCCATATGCCACCCACGCTCGCACCTCCCCCACAGTCCGCCGTCTGGCCCGGAAGCGGAGGAGCACACGGGACAGGGACTCACCGCCCCTCAGCCTCAGCTACAAGGTGCACGTCGCCTCAGTGAACAACTTCCCCACGGCCGCCGGCCTGGCCTCCTCAGCTGCGGGCTACGCCTGTCTAGGTAGGTGCTGAGGACGGGAGTGCTCGCTCTGGCTGTGCCCAGGAGCCCCTCCCCAGGGCCGTCTGAGTGCTAGGGTGCTTCTGGTCCTTTCACCTGTGGGCCCCAAAGGCCATATGCGGCAGGAGCCCCTTCCGGGGCTGCACCTAGAGAAGGGATTCTTGACTCAGAGCTGAGGCTTTAGGGGGCATGGCGGCCTCAGGCACGGCTGTATCCCACT